CCTCTCTATCCAAGATTTCCTACATAGATCCCCTTCTGAGTGGTTGACAGTGGTACCTGGGCACCATCTAGTTCTTCTAGTCTCATAGTTATATAGGCTGAGGATCACATGGTGTACCAGTCCCTTGGGCTCATTGTTTCCATGTGTCTTTGGTTTTCTTCATTCGTCTTTTCTCTGGACAAGGAGAGACCCATCGTTGCATCTAGATGGCCTCTTGCAAGCTTTTAAGATCCCAGTTTCTACTTGCCAAAGTAGGATGTAGAACAATGTTTTGTGTAATATGTTATGCCAATTGAACTTGATGTCCCCTGCAACTTTGGTCTCAAGCCGGCAGGTCCAACTATTCGCTCACTCTAGAAGTGACTACAATCTTGGCCCTTGTCAGCTCTACTATATACGTGGGAATTCTTACAGACCATACCAATACACTTACAGAAACATTATCTGCCAATCCTATACGTGGTCATGGGCAACACCTGTCTCTTAACTATCTAGCCTGAAAGAAGTTGAGATCTATCTTAGGAGTTTATCACAGCCTTGTTCCGTTTCCTGAATTTCACAAAAGTGTCAGGATTTTATGAATATTTGACTGTATAAGGTCTTTTGAAATCATGGACCCCATGGCCTAAAAACTACTATAAAAACCCCTAGCCTATAAGGCTCGGGGAGACACACATGCGTTGCTTCTGGCCCTGTGTATCTCCACCTTGCAAGGTTGTTATCCTCTTTTTAATTTCTGACTTTCTAGTTATTATTCTGGAACTAGGCCTGCGACACTGGCAACTGGTGCAGTTTGGGCAGCAGCAGTTCTCAATTCATGCTCATCTGGACCACACGAGGTCTAGTGGTTGTCATAATCACATTGCTTATTGGATAATCTGACAGGGTCCACCAGAGACAAACATCAGGTTTCACCTGAGTTATTTAAATTAAAAAAAAAAAAAAAGAAAGAAATTTAAGAATCCCCTTCAGCTGATCACATGTGTCTTTTTCATCTGTTACCATTTTCTTCCTTCTCCAATAGTGCCTTTCCCTCTCTGGGCTTCTGTTTCATCTATGAAATGAAAACACTGGCCTACCTGTTCTCAAGTCCATTATGTATTATAATAAAGCAAAGCCTTTATTTAAGAAATTCAGCCAGTTAACTTGGCACATGTCTGCTGGATACACATGAAGGTAAGATCTCTTTGGAGTTAGAGCTCATTTGGCCATTAGTTGTCTGTCGTTGGGCCACTGGCAGGTTGAGCCTCAGGATAATCTAGTCCACGTTCCTTGGGCTCATGTACCTGGTTGTAATGTTGGAGGCATTGGCTATGACAAAAACTACCTCGAATAGAATAGATGCAAGTTCATTTAACTTAGAACTCAAACACAAACATAGTTAATTCAGTAAATGTGATGTGAGAACAGTATGTGTTTAACAGTATTTTATTATTTAGATGAAAGTTTACACAGCAAATTAGTTTCCCCTTTAACAATTTTTATACGTATTGTTCCATGCCATTGGTCAAATATTTTACAATGTGTCAGCACTGTTATTATTTCCACTGTTTGTACTGTTTCCATTGATCTAGCTTCCCTTCACCTCCCTGCCTTCTCACCTTTGTTTTTGGGTAAATGATGACCATTCATTGTTTGAAGGAGCACATTACTCCTGGGTGATCTTTCACCTCCCTCTGCTTCTTCAGCTCCTTCTGGAACACAGCCCCTTAACTACTGCATTCCTTCACTTTGTGAGCTACTCTCCTCCACCCCATCCCCCAAAGCTCAATTGCCTCCCGTGACATTCACTTGCTACCCTTAGACTCAGACTGCTCCCTGAACGTCCAGCTATTTGCTCTCTGATCCTCCTTTCCCTTGCTCAGGGAGACATTGGGGGTAGTTAATGAAATCGCCCTGTGCCTCAGTGGATTGCTTGGTATGGCCCTTCTAGCCATGGTCTTTGTGACTCCCACCAGATGACAGGGTGAAACTATGAAAATGTGAAGTGTTTGTGGCCCACCAAGGGGACAGAATAGCTTGTTAATAATATAAATAAGGTCCATGGCACCCTTGTGGGGATACAAAAAAAGAAAAACTTCACTGGCATTGAGTAGAGTGAGTCGTTGCCGACTCATAGTTACCCCTCCTTGAGTATCTCTGCAGAAGTAGATTGCCCAATCTTCTTTCCAAGGAGTGGCTGGTGGGTTTGAACCACCAGCCTTCTGATTAGCAATCAAACACCTTAGGCACTACACCACCAGAGCTCCTAGGATAGGACCATAGAAATGAAAGTGTATGAAACCCTAACATGGGGACTGGTCTGTTTTGCTATATGCTAGGCTTAAAATAAGGAGCTCAAGGCATTTGGCTACTAACCAGGTTAGCAGTTCAAACCTACCAGCTGCTCCGCAGGAGGAAGATGAGGCAATCTACTTCTGTAAAGATTTATAGCCTTGGAAACCCAATGGGGGGGGGTCACTACGAGTCAGAATCAACTCAATGGCAGTGGTTTAGGCTTAAAATAAACCAAGCCAGAGGTGGCAAGTGGGGAGGTGATCTCATTACCATCAAGAAAGAGCCGGGAGTGGAGTGTATCCTTTGGACCTTATACCCCTTTGCTGAACCTCGTCAACCCAGGAGACAGAGCTGTAACAGACGACGAAAGATAGGAGAAGTGGTGGCAGAGAAACAGCAGCAGCAGAGGCAGCAGAACCAAGAGACTGTCACAAGACGGAGCCACAGAGCAAGACAGCTCAGTGCCTTCAGGCAGGAGCCTTGCTGGCAGACTAGGGTGCCTCTCTGGCCACCTACTAACAGAGCTAAAGGAGCTTTGTAGTGCTTGCCCGAGCAGGGCAGAGGCCGAGGGGCCACAGGGCAAAGAAGCCAAGGCCAGAGAGAAGTGGGCCTACAGCACAGCTGAGAAGCTGTCCTAATCAAAGAACTGGATCCTGAGTTGCTCCTGATCCTGAATTGTAACCTGTTTGTTCCCTAATAAACCCCTGAGTCTTGAGTATTGTGTGAGAGTTCTGTGTGGCCACTGCAATGAATTATTGAACCCAGCACAGAAGTAGAAAGTGCCATGAGAGGGACAGTTGGTGTCAGAATTGGTAAAGAGGTTGAAGGATGGAGGTTTGTCTGACCACCTCATAGGAATGAGCCTGGGCAGACTGTGCTCCCCACGTGTGAAGTTGGAGGAGGTCAGACTATGATGCCCTGTGCCATTTTTGCACTCCCCTTCTCCTGGGTGCTCTCAGTGTTTGACTGCTTGTCTTTCTCATGTTCATCTTGGATTTCAGGATGGGACATTGCATTCCCTAGTAGGTGGAGGGCTTGCTATTCTGAGAACTTCTTTTCTTTCTCATTATGTTTTCCTTGTGTAGCCTGGTAAAGAGGAGTGGTGCTGAGGCAGTAGTTAGTAGTAGGGCAAGATCAGCGCCTGCTCTCTGAGACCTGAGATGTATATCCTCAAATGTTTTTGTCTCTCTTGAGAATGTGGGAGAACTTAATCCTTTGAATCCTCATTAGCAATTCTGGGACAAGAGGAAAAGTCCTTTTTAGTTGATTCCTTTATAGCAATGATTATTTCTTTAAAGTAATAATAAGTGTCTACGTTGCTGCTACTTATCCAGTGGCCTCTACTACACTCAAAGTAAAATCCACCCTCCTTATCGTAGCCTCCAAAGCCCTGTTCAATCAAACCCCAGCCTGCTTGTCTTCCACTCCACTCACCCTTCCCTCCCTCTGCTACAGATGCAATGGGCTTCTGTTTTCAAACACATCAAACTCTTCCCACCTCGGGGCTTTGGCATCGTCTGTTCCCTTAGACAAGGAGCTCTGGTGACTTACTGGTGAAGGCATTTGCCTCCTAACCAAAAGGTGGGTGGTTCAAAACCATCAGCCGCTCTGTGGAAGACTGGGCTGTCTGCTTCAGTAAAGATTTCCAGCCTTGGAAACCCTATGAAGGTTGTAATGAGTCGGAATCCACTCTATGGTACTGAGTTTGGTTTTTCTGATGTTGTTCCTTCAGGGTGGAAGCTTTTGTCCTGCATGTCCTGCGGTTGTCTTCGTAAGTCTCTACTCATATCGGCCACCTTCCTCCACCCTAACGACGCTCCACTCCATTCACTATCTTATTCCTATGGCGAAGTCAGTACCTGAAATTATCTTGATGAGTTTACGTCTTTATTGTCTGCCTCGTCCCAAGGGCATGTACATTCGCTCCCCCAGCAGTAAGACCTTTTCTGCCTCGTCTATTGCTGTATCCTGCCGCTTTAGCACGATATCCCTGGCACAGAAGAGACGCTATTTGTGGAAGCAGGGAAACACAATTACTCAAGCTGCACACCCCGCTGCGCTCAGCCCTCACAGTGGTCCCCGTAGCGAGCCAAGAAAACGGGGCGTCGTTCTCACCGTCCGCCGTTTGCTGGGGCAGTGCGCGAGGGGCCTCTGGGAAATGTAGTTTGCAGGAGCACATCAGCCCGGAGTTTTAAGGCGCAAGCCTCCGTGTGCGCAAGCGCACTTTCGGCCCTGCGCCGCAGCTGCGGCCATTGTCCAGTTCTAGTGCGGCTGAGGCCGCTGTGGAAAACCCCTCAGCTGATCATAATCCTGGAGGGCCTAGTCTGGAGCTGGGGCGAGAGAAACCGACCAAGGCCCTCGAGTGGGCCAGTGGTCGAGAAATCCGGATCCCCCAGGAGGCGGTGATTCCGCGTGCGCGGGTCGGGGTGGCGCCTCCCATGGGCTTGGCGGGTGTCGGCGGGGCCGCGCCCTGCGTGCTGCGAGAGGACCGGGGTGTGGCTTGGGGGCGTCTGAGGCGCGCCAGCAAAATTTAATTTGGGCGACTGGAAGCGACAGGCCGGGGCAGAGTCTGCGCATCTCCCCACCTCTCTCCGCGAGTGGAGAATCTCTAAAAGCAAAGGCGGGTCCGGCGGGGCGGGTTGGGGGCTGCGGTTGCAGAAGCGAATGAGTGTCTTCTTCTCTCCCTAGCCCTTGTTCGGGAGCCGGGCCTCTACGAGGCAGGAATGGCCCCGAGGCCGCCAAAGGCCGCGCTCCAGGTGAGCAGTGCGTTCTTAATCCAATTAGGCCCCTGGAGGGTGTTTGGGGCAGTCATTGTTGTCCTTCTGTGGACCCCCTTACCTGGCTAGGTGCCCCCACGGATCCTCCTAGCCATGCGGAGCCAGAAGATATCCAGAGCTGGTGGGAGCGATTACACGGATGCTGGATTGGCAGGAGCTTCCCAAAAGAGGGTGCACACTGTGGAATGGAGGGGACCAGTGTGCCGTGGTCTTGTGAGAGGAGTTAGGGTTGGATAGGTTGGGAAGTGCCAATGTTGAGAGTTCTGAGTGCCAAGCCAGTCCCTTGAACTGCCAATACGCAATGGAGAGGGTGGGTGACAGGTCGAAAACTAGAGGAAGTGACAGGGGAGGCAGTGAGTGAAGGAGAGAGAAGCCCAGCTTCTCAGCCAAGAGCCATAGAGACTTTCACAAAAAAAAAAAAAACACCTCATTGCCTTCAGGTGGGTCCCAACTCCTAGCCACCCCTCCTCCTTGGGTTTCCGAGGCAGTATCTCTATGGGAGTAGATTGTCCAGTCTTTAAGGGGCCAAAAAGGCTTGGTCTAGACATCCCTAGGAAGAGGCCAGAGATGGACTTTCCTGGGCAGGGAGGCAAAAAAGCAGGGAGGACTTGTCCATGGCTTTTCAAGTCCTTTTCTGCTTTAACAAAGATAAAATAGTGCACATCCTTAGAACTCCTGCCTTCACTTTAAGGCTGATAAGAATTACCAATTTTAATTCCTAGGTGAGTGAGACAATCAGACTTAATCCATAAAAATACTAATAATGTTCTTTAAAAACAGTTCACAGAAAATTAAACACACACATTATATAAGGCCTTTTTGTTTTTCCCATCTTATATGTTGTTCTACAGAGGTGAGCCTTAAAAAGTAAGAGGAGTACAACACTAGAACTAGACAGTTGTTTGGTTTGAGGGAAGTCAGAGCAAATCATTATCATTATCACCTTTAAATACAAAATATTCTTCAATAAAAACCCATCCAACTCATAGTGACCCTGTGGGAAAGAGTAGAACTTCCCCCATTGGGTTTCTAAGGCTGTAATCTTCACAGAAGCAGACTGCCAAATCTTGCATCTACAGAGTGGCTGGTTGGTTTGAACTGCTGATCTTTCAGTTAGTAGCCAAGCACTTAAGCATTGCACCACCAGCATTCATGAAATTAGGATGTTTAACATCATAGTGCCTAAGGCACTTCACTGCTAACCAGAAGGCTGGTGGTTCCAGCCCACCAGCCACTTCTCGGAAGGAAGGAAGATTGGGCAATCTACTTCCTTAGTGATACTGCCTCAGAAACCCAAGGAGGGGTTGCTATGAGTCAGTCGACTCGACGGCAGTGTGTAACATCCTATCAAAAGAGCTCTGGTGCTATGGTGTTTAAAGCATTTGGCTGCTAACCAGAAGGTTGATGGTTCAAACCCATCAGCCACTCTGCAGAAGAATAGTGAGGCAATGTGGTTCTGTAAAGATTTACAGCCTTGGAAACCCAGTGTGGGTCGCTTTGAGTCGGAATTGACTCGAAGGCATTGAGTCAGTGAGTGAGTGAGTGAACAAACATCCTGTCAGAGGTGATGGTCCTTTCCACAGGAGGGATTGCCTTCTTAATGGTGCTGAGCTTGAAGTTTAGTCAAATGTGGATTCCTTGGTCTTCCAGAAAACTGAACGTGGATATGTGTTCAACACAGTGAATTTTAGGGACCACATTAAACTCAGTTTTAAAGTTGTGTTCCCCAAGCACTGTGGTTCAGTTACATTCTCCTGCAGAAGCCTGATAGTCCACTTGGGTTGCCTAACTCAGACTTTAGGTGATGAGCAGGCATGAAGGACAGAACACTGGCCTTACAAAGGGGATTTGTAGGCAAAAATTTCCCTTTGTCAGTGGTTTCTCTTCTCTGAGCATGGCCCTCTGGGGAATGCACAAGATGAATAATTGAGTCATATGACTTCTTATCCCCGAAGTTAAGTTAATGGGGGAAGACGGTCTCATGTAGAAATATAGCACAAAGGTGAAGGAAATGTCAAGTGTTACTACAGAGCCCCAGAGGCTGCTTTGATTACAGAGACCAAAACCAAACCCACTGCCATTGAGTCAATTCTGACTCATAGTGACACTATAGGACAGAGTAGAACTGCCTCATAGGGTTTCTAAGGCTGTAAATCTTTATGGAAGCAGACTGCTTCATCTTTCCTCCCACGGAGCAGCTGGTGTGTTCAAACCACCGACCTTTTGGTTAGCAGCCAAATGCCTTAAACACTGTCACCAGAGCTCTTTGATTACAGACAGGGGAGTGGAAATTCCATCTGTAGGAAGGATTTAATGAAGACTGTCACCTGAATCAGTACTTGTTAGGTAGGCCTAAGCAAGTGAAAATGAAGATGGTAGAAGTAGAGCTGATTGACTTTGTGGGTCAGAGGAGAAGATGGGGGTCAAATGGAGAGATGAGGACAGAAGTTTAGTCTTTTTATTTGGCCACGGTAACTCATTTGTTCATCCATCCATTCAGCTGATAGTCATTGAACACCTGTGATGTCTGGGGCACTTTTCTGGGCAGTTAAGATACATCGTTGTTCATTGCCATGGAATGGTTCTGACTCATAGCATCCCCATGTGTGCACAGTAGAACTCCTCCACAGGGTTTTCAAGGCTGACCTTTTAGAAACCGGTCACCAGGCCTGTCTTCCTTAGTGCCCCTAGGTCGGGTCATACTGGCAACCTTTTAGCCAGTAGTTGATTGCTTAACCATTTGCACCACCCAAAGACTCCCATTCATGAACAAAATTTACAAAGGTATCTGCTTTCATGGAGCTTACATTCTAGAAGGGAGAGACAGAATAATTCAATAAACAGTGAACAAGTAAATTATACAGTATTCTGAAAGCAATAATATCAGGAAAAAAATACAAGACAGAGAAAGATAAGAGAAGCTGAATGAGAGGCAGGAAACTTGTGGTAGGGATACAGTTTGAACTTTAAGTGGGGTGTTCAGAGTAAACCTTACCCGTGTTGGCCTCGGGATGTTTGTGCAAAGGCCCTATGCCAAATGTATGTGTGGTGTATTCACAGAGCAGAAAGACCACTATAGCGTGGCCCAGTGTTTTTGAGCAAGGAAATAGTATGCTTTCTTCTTAGTTTTAAAAGTTACTGTGAATAAGGAGTTACAGGAGCAAGACCGGATGTCAGAGCTCCTCTGAAAAGGTTTTTTAATGGATGTGACCTTCCCCCTGGGCTTGGCTAACAAAAGACCCACTAGGGCTCCAGCAGCAATGGGATGGGAATGGGAGTCAAAATCAGAGAAGCAGGATGCCATTAGAATCATTAGAAACTATATGTGTTGTAGCTCTTTCTATATAACGTTGTGTACCTTGTTCATCTTTTATTTTATATATGTGTGTGTGTATGTGTGTATATATATATATGTATAATATATATATATGTATAAATACACACATACACACACACACACTACGTTTTTAGTTAGGAAAATAAAGTATTTGCCAAACTTAGATTTGAATTCACCAGAACAGAAAGAAATGGGGAGAAAGATGATGGAAATGTTTAGAACTAGATAGAGGTGTTGGTTGCTCAACATTTGTGAATCTCTTAAATGCCACTAAATGGCTAATCTTACGTGAATTTCACCTCATTTAAAAAAAAATGTATACACACACACACACACACACATACATGAGAAAGTTTTACAAGAGAAAAGTTGCATATGGAGTCTACGTTTCTTGGTGTTCTGCCTTGATGGGGAGGAAATGGGCCCCATCTCTGATCTGGTCTCTGCTGACTCCATATCCTCAGACCTCAGAGGGTTCTGAAGTCACTAAGATGAACAGACCCAGCCAAACCTGACTCTCAGGTTACCCAAACCCACACAAGATATCCCTAGACCACTATCCTTCTTCATTAAGAATTACCCACACTCTGTATTCACTCACTGAGCAGACATTTTGGAGTGCATGCTCTGTGCCAGGCAGTGGTTCCTAACCAGAGTCATGCATCTTAACACAGGGTCACACTTCAGAACCAAACAGGAAGTGATACCTGCTTCCTGTGGAGTGGTAACAGGGTTTCTGGGAGAAAATTTAGTAAGACAGTGCATATAAATGACTAAATGTCTGGCCTGCAATTGTTGTTAGGTGTCGTTGAGTCAGCTCCAACTCATAGCTGCCTTGTGTGCAACAGAATGAAACAGTGCCTGGTCTTGCACCATCTTCACGATCCTTGCTATGCTGGCCTGCAGTTAGTGCTCAGTAAACGTTAGCTGTTGGCTCTTTTATAATGAATCACCTGAAAAGCTTTTGAAAGATCCTTGAAAAGCTCCTCCTTCCATGAGTAATTTAGAAAATTGCCCAGAATTATCTCAATATGTTTAGTATGGGGGATACTGAAATAAAGAGAATATGATGTCAGTGTTCAGGTGGTTTGAGAAATTTAAGAGAGGGAAATACATATGACTAAATGACTACAGGTTTGAAATGGAGACATAGACCAAATGCTGAAGAGTGTGGGAGGATAGGGGATCTAGAAAAGTTTCAGGGGAAAGGAACCATTGAATTGGTTCTAGAAGGATAACTATGAGTTTTTCCTGTAGAGCTGAGGCAAGAAGGTGTATTATGGTCAGAATAGAGTATGTACATGATGTACAAAGCAGGATTTTGAACCAGTTCCATCGTGGCTGACAAATCGAAATTTGGAACAGGCCCAAATCTTTAAAATTGATGCAGAACAACTGGAACAGGAGAAATTATGGGTCAAAGCTCTATAAAGGGAGACTTGAAAGAGGCATAGTGAGCTCTTTAAGGAGCCTGCTGCAAGAGTGGATTATTGCCAGGATTGTAAAGAGACACATTCAAGGTGGCGTGTTCAGCTGCCATCTTTGAGCAGGACACTGTTGTGCCTGACTGTGCCAGTAAAGAAATTTGGTTGTTACTCAGTGTGCACACTGCCCTTGTTTTCTAAGAGGAAATTAAGTTTCTAGCAGGGCATTTACCCATAATTTTTCCCATTCCATTTATTGGGACAATAAATTTTACATTTTACAAATCCAGGTCCATTCCACTTTTGCTTTGTCAGCCATGACGGAACCAGCAAGAGCCTTTTTGAAGCCCTGGTGCAAAGCCAAGGAGACATGAAAGGGGTTAATATGAGCAAGGAATAAATGGCAAAGAGTCCACAAGGCAAAAGAAGCATGGTTGTGTACGGTGAATGGCAGGAGGTCAGGTTTGAGAGAAAGAGGATTCGCTAGCCCTGGGGTAGAGTACGTCTATGGCTGGGAGATAATGTAGAAGAGCACTGTCTGAGGAAATACAATGCAAGCTACATACAGAGTTTTAAATTCCTAATAGCCACATTTTTTTTTTTTTTTAATGAAAAGTACAATTTTTATTAAATGGCAAATATTTATTAAGTATTTGTGACTTACTCTGTGCCCTGCCTGTTTTAGGCAGTAGAGACTGAACAAAGAGAATAGTTAATATCTGTTTCACAGTTGATGTTCTGGTGCAGGATAGACTGTAAACGAAAGCACACGTCAGGTGGTAAAGGATATGAAGAAGGAAAAGGGCAGAATGACCAGAGCTGCATGCGGTGCTGTTTAATGTAGAGCGGTCCAGTGAGGTTGCTCTGATGAACTGACATTTGAACAGAGCTGTAGGAAGTAAGGAGGGGAGCTATGTGTATACATGCAGGAAGAGATTTTCAAGTCAAAGGGACAGTCACAGTGAAGGCTGTGAAGCAGAAACATGCGTTGTATATTCCGGGAATCAGAAAGTGGGCAGGGAAAGCAACAAGTGCAGTAGGTGATGAAGCTTGAATGAAGTCGGGAGACGGGGAGGCCCAACTGTGAATGCCTGTGTAGGTCACTCTAAAGAGTTTGGCTTTTACTTGGAGTGAATTGGGATACCATTGTAGGGTTTTAAGCAAAGGACTGATGTGATCTTAAAGGTTGTTACACGGAATGCAGACTTCAGGGTGGGGGTGAGGCATAAGTGGAAAATGAGAGACCAGTTAGGAAGTTGTAGCAGAAGTCCAAATGAGAGGTGGTGGCATGGGGCTATAGATAGGGAGAAGCAGTAAAACAAGTTAAAGGTTTGGAAGCATGATCAAATTAGTGGTTCAGAGACTTTTAGACTCTGGTAATATGTAGGGGAAAAAGGGTTGTTGGGACCAAAAGCAGAAGAATGGAGAGCAGTCAAGGCAAGCAATGATGACTGGCTTGAAGTACACATTTGTTTACTAGTCAGCACATTCTTTACCATCAGTGGAACGTGTCTGGGGAAGCAGAGTAAAAGCAGGAGGCCGGGGGTTAAATATGGGGACCACAGCAAAGGAATCCGACTTTGCAGACAGCTAAATCCCTATTACTAAGCCAAAGGGCTTGTGTGTTTAGAGGACAGAGGAGGCAATGGAGAGAGGGTGTTAGTTCTCCAACACAATTTAAAATGGTCCCACCCCTTTTTCTTGCTGGCCATGTCCATGCCAAGTCCAGCCTCCCTCCTTAACCTTCTTAATCTATGTGTTGGACTTCCATCTTTTCTCTTCCCATCTAAATGGTAGTTCCTCTTAAGGCCTGGTGCATAGCCTCCCTTGAAGATACCTCTCCCTCTCCTAATCTTCCCTGCTCTGAACACCTGTAGTGCCTCACTCTCCTGTCTCAAATTGTGTTCTAATAAATGACACATTTTAAAATAAACTGAAATCTATTCAAGGACTGCAGTGTTTTTTGTTTGCATTTTTATTCTGCCACATTATATGTGGTAAAGCCAGGCACTTAGTAAATAGCTAGTGACATCTTATCTGGCACAGTTAGATTTCCTGACGTTGGTCAGAAAAATCTTCCACAGGTTTCAACCTTTTTCTGTTTCCATGGGGACACACAGCCTCAGTGTTTCAGAGTTTAAGGAAAAAAAAAAAAAAAAGATAAAATCTCTGCCCTCCAGTGCTTTACAGTCTAGCCAGGAATATGAGCATTAGGTTGATATTTGGTTTATTTTTGGTTTATACTTATGGGTGTATAAAGTGACTTAAAGCACATAATAGAGGGATTGCCACTCCTATAGAAAATCGAAAGAATTCACTAAGGATCTGCTCATCGCCAAAGGCTGAAATGACATTAGCTAAGGGAAGGTCTGACAGAAAGGGGAAAGGGAATGACACCCTCAAACTAAAAGGAGCTTGGTTGAGCTATAACGAAGCAAAGGGAAAAAGGGCATGGTACAAGGCAAAAAAAAATCCATACCATCTTCCATCACTGCTACAGCTAACTCAGCTCTGCTTTTAATGTCTTTTCACACTAGTTTTCTTAAGCACACTTCATTATATCCTTGCTGAGACAGAAGTCCAGCCAGGACTAAAGGAGGTATTGCAAGGAGGACACGGTTGTAGATACCTCATAGCTTAACAGTGCCAAATGAGGTAAGGCACAAACAAACCCACAACCATCAGAACAGTTGTGAGGCATTGGAGACCTTGGCCAGCCTGGTTTCAATGCAGTGGTGGAAAAAGGAGCATGGTTGGAGTGGGGTAAGAAGTGTGAAAAGACCTTTAATCTAGCGATTTTAATTCTAGTTATCCTGGAGAAATTCTAGCGTATTTTTAGGAATTGTATTTCTTGCAATAATGTTTGTAATAGAACAATACTGGGAATGATCTAAATGTCTGTTCACAAAAAACTGGTCCATTTATTTGTTCAACAAATATTTTTTTAATATCTTTGTGTCAGGAATTGTTCTAGGTGTTGGGCATATAATTGATTAAGATGGATGGTCTCTGCTCTCTAGGAGTTCACAGTGGGAGGAGACAAAACACTCAACCAGCAAGCAAACTAATCTCAGATAATTAGAAGTACAAGGGCCCTTTTCTACTTGCATCTGTTTGGTAGCAAGCATTTTGGCAGTGGAAAATTAAACGTGGTTATATGATGGAGAGTAAATTAGAGGTTCTAAGACAGCTTTTCTGGAGAGACAACACTTGAGGTGAAACGTAAGCAGCAAGTTGTCGACCGTGTGGTCATGTGGGAATGGTAAGCATAAAGGCTCTGGGTGGGGACAGGCTCGAGGTCTTCCAGAACCAGCAAGGTCAGCATGGCTAGAGCCTAGTGAGTAATGAGGAAGTTTGAATTTTACTCTTAAGGACAATAGGATGCTATTGGTTCTAGGCAGTGATTATTCTGTAATATAACTGTACTATGGGGTACTAAGAAGCAATTTGGAAAAATGAAGTGAAAGTATGTGACCACTATGGAAAGATCTCCAAGACCCAGTTAGTTAAATGTAAAAAGCAAGCTGTGGAACAATTTGTGTGGTGTTTTGTAAAATGAGGTTGTATGTGTGTGTAAAATATGACAGGGGCTCTAAAGATATATACCAACCTGTTAACAGTGATTATTTCTGGAAAGTAAAGTAGGGTTGGTGATGAGGACTAAGAGGGCTTTCATTTTTTACTCCCATTGTATTCATGTTTTGTAAATCCTCATACACGATGGAAGTGGATGGACAGTGAGGAATTGGCAACAGGGAATTGGCCACAAGGCTTGGCTTTGAAGGAAAGCAAAGAAGATAGCTAAGTAGGTTACAGGTTTGGAGACCAAATTGCCCCTTGTGACTTTCCTGCCTGCCATACTAGATCCTGTACGAAATTATATAGTTAAACAACCAGTCTGTATAACCAAGTCTTGCCCCCTTAGAGTACCAAATATGTGATCACTGCTTTTGATAAATGCTGTAGTATGTTCCAAGTGTTGCCATGCGCATGTTTGGGGGCTTGATCCTTGGTTGAGCAGGAACATGATCCTACAGGAATCGGTGACATTCAGAGATGTGGCTGTGGACTTCACCCAGGAAGAATGGCACCATGTGGACCCTGCTCAGAGGATCTTGTACAGGGATGTCATGCTGGAGAACTATAGCCACCTGGTTTTTCTTGGTAAGAACCAACTCCCCTCAGTGTCTTGCCTATTGTTGGGTCTTTCCTTTCTCATTTGTTAAGGCTGTGGTACTCACAGCTTAAGTGACTAAGCAGGGTATTCCGGGGTCAGAGCTTGTTAAACTCTGGGATCCCCAGCTTTATGGGTTTTTGATCCTGCTCTTGAGGTAAAAGGTCTCTGTTGTGCAGAACTGGAAATAGGTCCTTTGATTGCATGGCTCCCTAAATTGCACCTCTGTTTCCTTCAGAGTTCCTACAGATCAAGGTCTAGTACTGACTTGTAAGAGAATTCTTTGTCCACTTGCACAAACAACCTAAGCTTGTATATTTGCCCATGAGCAGGATATCAAGTTTCCAAGCCAGAGGTGATCTTCAAATTGGAGCATGGAGAAGAGCCATGGATCCCAGAGGGAGAAATCCAAAGACCTTCCTGTCCAGGTAAATGAGCAAGAATCAGGCATGTAGGAATCAATGCAGCTGACAGCAGAGCTCAGGGAAGGGGAAGCCTTTGAATTGCTGACTTGGGAGCTTTGGGACCTGCAGAGGAAGCTGAAGCTATTTGGTTTGGGTAACACCTTAGGAAATCTCCTACCACAGAATGTTTATGCTATTAGTGGGACTTACAGGAAAAAATACTCCCTATTCCTTTCTAAAAGTACCCTCTTGCCCTACACTGTGAATATCATCTCTGCCTATCCTGTAATCCTCCTTACTGGATTATTTCCTTCTCTGGCTTCCTCAGATCCCCTTCGTTAGAGATTCCTTTTCTTACTCATTCAGACATTAATTGAACTTCAAGTCTCCTCCTTTTTTGGGGTGGGGGGTGGAGGTCACTTTCGCTATCAGATGTCTCAGACTTGTAGGAAATACAGCAATGATTCTCCCTCCCTGTTGTAACCTGTCTTCAGACTTCTTTCCTTAAACTGCTGAAACATCTGTCAGGGAGCTCCACCATCTTCCTTCCATCCCACCTTTATGCTGATTTGATTCATCACCTCCCTTCATAGCTCCTGTGATACCATTCTCCTGATCTCCTCTCCTACTCGGTGCTTCTTGGATTTTAGGTGTTTAGCTTATCTTACCTTTTCTTCTAAGTGAATTTTTCTAAGCAGCTCGCCCTCTAGCCTCCTTCTCTTTCTCTCTGAATTACGTCCCTATAAGAATACTTGCATTTTGGTGGTTACAGGTCTTTATTCTATGCCGTAGACTCAAAAATCTTCCCTATATGCATTCTGGTCTCAACATTTTTCTTCTCACAGGAACTCTCCACTTAGAAGTCCCACTCAGTTCATATTAAATACGTGAAAAATGAAAGTTAATGATCTTTCATGCCCAGCCACTGTATTTTCCTACCTTGCCTGTTAATCCATTTCTGCCCTTGACTATTAGAGACCACTGGGTTTTGAACACCTTAGGCCCGACTCCATAATCTTTTTCTTATAATCTCTTTACCTCATCTCTCCAGGTTATTTTTCTCCTTTAAGCAGTATCTTAGATTTTCCTGTCTTTTTACTTTCACCAGTAACATGCTGAACCAAGGTTAGATTACTGTAATTCCCAGTTGGAATTGTTCATTCTATCTTTTCTATTTATAATCCACATTGGATTTTCTTTCTTTCCTTTTTTTCCCCCTTGTATAGCACTCTTACTGAGATATAATTTTCCTTACCCCAAAAGGAAAAGAAACCTGAGACCCATTAGCAGTCACTCCCCTTTCCTTCTTCCCCTAAGTCCCTGACCACCGTTAATCTTAATCTACTTTTTGTCTCTCTATGGATTTGCCTATTCTGGTCATTTCATGTAACTGGAATCATACAGTATGTGGCATTTTGTGTCTGGCTTCTTTCACTTAACAGTGTTTTCAAGGTTTATCCATGTTATAGAATGTATCAGTACTTGATTTCTTTTTTATGGATGAATTATACTCCATTGTTTGGATATACCACATTTTGTTTATTTATTCATCGTTTGCTAGACCATGTTGGATTATAAAGCTCTACCTTCATATTCCAGGAGCTTTGGTAGCATAGTGCCTAAGGCATTTGACTGCTAACCAGAAGGCTGGAGGTTTACACCCACCAGCCACTCCTCAGAAGGAAGATTGGACAATCTACTTCCATAGTGATACTGCCTTGGAAACCCAAGGAGGGGTCGCTAAGAGTTGGATCTGGCAGTGCATTTGGTTTTTGGTTTATCTTCATCACCCAAGGATCTCTGGTAGGTGCCTAAGGCATCTGACTCCTAACCAGAAGGTTGGTCATTCAAACCCATCAGCCACTCCACAGAAGCAATACAGGGCAGTCTACTTCGGTAAAGATTTACCACTTCGGAAACTCATTGAGGGTTGCTGTGAGTCAGAATCAACTCGATGGCAGTGAGTTTGGTTAATCTTCATAGCCCACCCACCTCTGAAAAAACCTTTTTCCCTATATCTCATTACAGGAAATAGAAACTCTCTAGATTCAAAAGTTCTCTATCACACCTTCTTATTACTTTTTTAATTTTGCTAATACAAGCTTTACTTAGGTTGAGTTTCTTTTTAATATTCCCTTTTAGGTAGTATGCACTTTTACTCATTAGGTAATACTTTCTGTCTATTCAGAGCTGTCTATTCGAGTTCAAGGTTTACATATATAAATATTTACTTCTTTCCTGATCACAAATACCATTTACATCATCTCTACCACACATAACTCAGATTTCATAATATACCATCCAGTTTTCATTTTCAGTTGTTGAAATGATAGGTTTTGTTACTATTCTTAGATTCCAAACTTCTATAGAAGAACCTGATATATTTCTATCTGTGTTGCAGAATACCTAGAAGGCAGTCAGATTATTGACTGATTATTATGGAGTCATTCACTCATTTCATCACCCATTTCTTGAATGTTTCATTGAGCAGGATTTTGAAAGAAGAAATACAAAGCATTTTCTGCCCCTGGGAGTTTAGAATTAAGTCTAGTTTCAGGGTAAGGAATTTTGGAGTTTGAGATCCTTTAATTATATTTTTTCTTCCCAACATTTTATTATGAACAATTTCAAAGTTAAAAGAATTATACAGTGAATACCCACATACCTACCACCTAGATTTTACAATTAACATTTTGTTATATTTGCTTTATCACATACCTTCCCATTTGTCTGTCTAATTTTTTCATGCATTTCCAAGTAGGTTGCAGATGTTTTATTCTTGAGTACTTTAGCATACATATCATTGACTAATGTTCAATTTTATTTTTTATGATTCTTTTTTTACTTTTAAGGAGCCCTGGTGGTGCAGTGGTTAAGAGCTCAGCTGCTAACCCAAAGGGTAGTAGTTCAAACCTGCCAGCTGTTCCATGTGAGAGAGATACGGCATTCTGCTTCCATAAAGATGTACAGCTTTCGAAACCCTGTGAGGCAGTTCTACTCAGTCGTACAGGGTTACTGTGAATCAGAATTGACGAGATGGCACTGGGCTTGGTTTTATTGCATTTTTTTTTCTTCTTTAAAGAAGAAGTTATATACAATGAAATACTTAACTCTAATGTGTACCATTCAGTTGGTTTTGATGAATTCATTTATTTATGTAACCCAAGCCCTATCAATATGGTATATTTCCATAACTCCAGAGAGTTCCCATCCCTTAAGTTTTTAAAGGTTACCTTTCTTAGAACCTAGATATTAATTAATTCTATGCTATTGGTATTCTAAGGTAAATAGAATTATAGCTCAGTTTTTATGAGGCAGATTGAAATAAATGCTTTCCTGATCGAGAGAAATGAGTAGTATAGAACCAGAACTCAAATTGGCCTAAACCACAGCCCCAGGTATAAGGGCAAGGACGATCTGCCTTCTGAAATACTCTTTCTTGCCTTAAGAAGTATAGCTCTCAGTCTCCAGTTATATCAAAGTATAGATTGAAATCTGGCTGTACATTTTCTCTGCAGGATTTGGAGGCCTGGAGCCTCAGGGGTAACTTTAAAGAAGTTAGGAAATGGATGTATTGGGAAAACAGATTTTGTGGTGGTTTGTGAAATAGACCGGAAGCATGAAGAATAAATAGTATCCTTAAGCTGAACTTTGTTCCTGTTCCATTTATATCTGTGCTTGACATTCTCATACTCACTTATTCCCTTGTTCGCTAACGAGCCCTCTTAGATGGGCTTTCCTCATTCTCTGGACTTTGCCACACACTGTGGATCTGCAGTCTTTACTGTCATCTCTCTTCACTCTCCCTTTTCTCTATTTTGGGTCTTCTCCCCAACCTACAGGACTAATTTCAAAACAGTCATGTGTAATTTGTATCTCTTTCATTCCCTCATTCCTAATGTAGCAGTTTGTTTCAACAGCAGGGAATAGGGACTTTTGCACTTTGGATTTCTTTCAGACTGGGAGACCAGGCCTGAAGCCAAATCATCAAATCTGCGGCAGGGCATATCTGAAGGCTCCAGTAGCACAGATGATTTCTCACATGCCACACTAGAAGACGACTGGGATGTTAGTAGCCAGTTAGAGAGGCACCAGGAAAACTGGAAGAGACATCTGGGGCCAGGTGCATATATCCAGAAGAAAATCACACCAGAGGAAAGTTTTGAGCAGAATAAATTTGGTGAAAACTCTAGATTGAACATAGACTTGGTTACACAACTGAACAACCCTTCAAGAATGAGACCTAGTGAATGTAATACTCTTGGAAGCAACTTGCAGTATAATTCAGACTTACTTAATCAGAATAATATCCTTATAAAAAAGAAACCCTATAAATGTAATAAATGCAGAAAAGCCTTTATTCATAGATCTTCGCTTACTAAACATGAGAAAACTCACAAAGGAGAGGCAGCTTTCCCCAACGGCACAGATCAGGGACTTAACCCTGGAAAGAAACACCATGAATGTACTGACTGTGGGAAAACCTTCCTCTGGAAGACACAGCTTACAGAACATCAGAGAATTCACACTGGGGAGAAACCCTTTGAATGTAATGTGTGTGGAAAGGCCTTCAGGCATAGTTCATCCCTTGGTCAGCATGAGAACGCTCATACTGGAGAGAAACCCTACCAGTGTAGTCTTTGTGGGAAAGCCTTCCAGCGCAGCTCCTCCCTTGTTCAACATCAGAGAATTCACACTGGAGAGAAACCCTATCGATGTAATTTATGTGGGCGGTCCTTTAGGCATGGCACATCCCTCACACAACATGAGGTTACACACAGTGGAGAGAAACCCTTCCAGTGTAAGGAATGTGGGAAAGCCTTTAGTCGATGTTCTTCCCTTGTCCAGCATGAGAGGACTCATACTGGAGAGAAACCTTTTGAATGTAGCATATGTGGGAGGGCTTTTGGTCAAAGTCCATCCCTTTACAAACATATGAGGATTCATAAGAGAGGCAAACCTTACCAAAGCAATACCTACAACATAGATTTCAAACACAGCTTATCTCTTAGTCAAGATGAAATCAGTCTTACTGAAGTGAAATCCTATCATTGTAATGACTGTGGGGAAGATTTCAGTCACATTACAGACTTTACTAACCATCAGAGGATCCATACTGGAGAGAACCCCTATGATTGTGAACAGGCCTTTCATCAGCAACCTAATTCTCATCCAGGAGATAAACCCTATCAATGTAATGTTTGCGGGAAAGCTTTCAAAAGGAGTACAAGTTTCATAGAGCATCATAGAATTCATACTGGAGAAAAACCCTATGAATGTAATGAATGTGGAGAGGCCTTCAGTAGACGCTCATCACTTACTCAGCATGAGCGAACCCATACTGGAGAGAAACCCTATGAATGTATTGACTGTGGGAAAGCCTTTAGTCAAAGTTCATCCCTTATTCAGCATGAGAGAACTCATACTGGAGAGAAACCGTATGAATGTAATGAATGTGGGCGAGCCTTCCGAAAGAAAACCAATCTGCATGATCATGAGAGAATTCATACTGGAGAAAAGCCCTATGTTTGTAAGGAATGTGGGAAAAACTTCAGTCGAAGCTCAGCTCTTACTAAACACCAGAGGATTCATGCTAGAAATAAACTCTAGGAACCCTAAAATTAAGGAATGTGCAGAAACCTTTAGCTAAAATACTGTTCTTATTCAGTATGAGATCATTCTTACTGGAGAGAAAACTTGAGAATGTAGAGGATTATGTGTGTGTTTCTATGTTGTGTGTGAAGAAAACTTTTGTGCCAGTAGACAGTGTTTGTTTGAGTTTTAATAAAAAGTACATTCTCAGATCTGATTACAGACTTTTGTAAGAACTACAAACATATAGCCAGATGGAAATGATATGCTTCTATATTGGACATTATAAAGCGTTTGAATGTATGTATGTAGGAGACTCCCAGCTCTCAACAGCTTGATTCATAACCTTCACTGTTTACAGCCTTTTTATAAATAAAACTATTCTAGCAATGACCAAAACTCATTTTTAAAACTGTCTACAACTTTACCCAACTGCCCTCTTTGACAGAATTTACCTTGGAAACCAGTTCCACCTCCAGGAATTCACCATTCAAAGAACTAGATCAACTAGTCCAACCACTTCTTTGTACAGATGAAGAAACTGAAAACCAAAGATGTGAAGTGGTTTGTGCTGTGTGATGCAGCTTATAATGGCAAATCTGGGTGGAACATACAGCCTTCCTGGATCCTTGACCCCACAGCCTTGCCACTGAGAGGGTATTTTGGAATTCAGAGGACTCAAATTTTAAAATAAGCCAGATGCAAAACATGTAATGAGCACCCATGGGATAGACACTTTATAAATTAATAAAAGTATAAGAGGCAGCAAAGCATATGCAAATTTGTCACAAATTTGTTTAAAACAACTTCTTGGAAACTTAAACCAAAATGTTAACAGAGACAGTAAATGGTTCAACTATTGGTAACTCTGTTCCTTTCCCCAACTATCATCATTATACTTCCAGCTAACGTATATCAGTTTCATAAAATTATTAAGTCTTCCTTTTGTGCTTTTCATGACTCACTCCCATGAAAAAAGCACTGATCCAAGCTTTCTGTATCAGATCACTGGGAAAACTAAGGAAAGAGAGACTTTTTTTTCCCCAAAAAAATTAATTTTATTGTAGAGAAATATAAATCCAGTTACCTGCTGCCATAAATTTTGCCTCTGACTCAGTTTGGAGAAATAGAAGGTATTAGTTCACATTGTGTGCCAAGGAAATAGTTCACTGTAAAAAAGTCAACCCTTTTAGGTCCATGATGCTTTTCTATTAGGAAAGCATGAGTTAAGCTTTAGTGGCCCACTCTGGGTCTTAATGTCCCTTACACATCTCCCATGGGTGATTTTAAAGGAATGTCCAGAACCTTTGGTGATTCATTGGCACCAGCAGTGCATACAGATTAGAAGCAACTATAGATACTGATCTCTTTTACACAAGAATTACTCTCCCACTGAGACAGATTTTCCTAGTGCTAATGATGACTCTTGGGGAGGGGTGATGTGGGTCATGTTGATGTCAACCTTTGCTCCTGGTTGGCATGCCAGGTGCAATTCTTGACCCTTCTCAGTCCTGGACAGCATCAGGAGCTCCCAAGCATTCTTCGTCATTCTTGGCAGGGAAGATATGCGTGGGGACTGAAATGTGAGTTGTCTAGCCCAGTGAGTCTGCTACCTGTGAGGCAGATTTGCCTTTCAAAGACATTAACCAGAAAACCTTGTTTATGGTGCTCTGTGTCTAGAGCAAACACAATGCCACGCCATGTTTGTGTTGTCTGATACATAGTTTGACCATGGGTAATTCTGCTCCAGTCCTCCCCTGCTGTTTGGCTGGAATGTATGTTAGGAACTCATTTTGCTACGGATTGTTTGGGGATTCCCATAGTAGATTACCTTCAGGAACGGCATGAGTTGTAACCAATTGAGTGCTGCCCCACTGTTATGGAAGTTTATAAAGACTTAGTTCCAGAAGACCCAAAGGAGACCACTGGTTTAAGTGTGGAGCCTGGTCTAGATCCACACTATCTGAACCTCAGCACATCTTCATTGGCAGGGAGGGAACCCAGGATATATGTGTGGCTGATTGAGCAGAGGACTGTCCTACTCCCAGCAATCATGAACCGTGTGCTTAACAAACACCCAGCTTGCTAGAGCCACATGAAATGTGTCCTTGTCACATCATGTATTCTCTCAATAAATAGCCTTCTTAGTTGAATGGGAGTCAGTTTGTCTTTTTCAATTTTCAGAACTTGGCTAAGATTAAGGAATGGCGCTTCAAGGAGGATGGATTAACTGCTAAACTCCCCAAAGCCAGGTGAGTTAATAATAGCTACCATTCATTGTGTGCTCACTACCTGGACAACGTTGTGCTAAGTGCTTTACATAACGTCATTTCATTTAATTCTTAAAACAGCTCTTCCTGTTAGTAGGTGTTGTGGTAACTCTTGTCTGTCTGCCCAGTGTTTTTCCTACTTCTTTCCCTTTCTTTGACAATCCCTGCTTCACTGACCGCAGGAACACGAATCAGAATGTCCTCAGGCTCAGTGATAGTACTGAGGGCGGGCATGTTGGGCTAGTCAGAGTCCTTTGCCAGAATTTTTAAGGAGAACTGGTGGGAAAACTCTATTTTGGGGTGCCTAAGGCACTTAACTGCTAATCAGAAGGCTGGCGGTTCAAACCCACCAGCCACTCCTCGGAAGAAAGGTTGGGCAATCTACTTCCATAGTGATACTGCCTTGGAAACCCAAGGAGGGGTCGCTATGAGTCGGGGCCAACTTGACGGCACAAAACAGCAACAGGCTGGACAGATGAAGGCTGCCTGGTGGTATAATGGTTCAGGCATTCGATTGCTAACCAAAATGGTGGTGGTTCAAACCTGCCATCTGTTCCATGGGAGGAAGATGAGCCAGTCTAACTCTGTAAAGATTTACAGCCTTGGAAACCCAATGGGGGTCGCTATGAGTTGGAATTGACTCGATGGCAGTGGGTTTTGGTTTTTGTAGGAAGCAGCTTTGGTGGCATAGAGGTTGAAGCCTTTGTCTGCTAACCAAAAGATCAGTGGTTGGAACCTACCAACTACTGTGTGAGAGAAAGATGAAGCAGTCTGCTTCTGTAAAGATTTATAGCCTTGGAAACCCTATAGGCCAGTTCTACCCTGTCCTAAAAAGGTGGCTATGAGTTGGACTCAATTTAATAGCAATGTGTTTTTATTGTAGGAGGGGATGAGGTGTTCCTATTTCTTCTCTCTGGGGTCCTTGGTCAATTTCTAAATCTTTCCCTTGGATTCAGTGACCTCCCTACTATTGTCCAACTATTTCCTCATTTTGCTTAAGCTAGTTAATGTTTCTGTTGCACTGGAGAGATGTAATACCTGTTTTATAATGGGGTGGAAGTGGAGACCATGGACAGCATGAGGAGCTCCCATAACTTGGACAAGGTAGTGCAGATTCTGGCTTCAAACCTAGGATTCCAAGGTCAGGTCTTAACCTAACTCCGGTGTCTCCAGAACTGCACGTAACGCAGTGTGGTTTGAAGGGGTGAATGGATAAAGGGTTACGGTGACAGGTTAGGTTGGAGACTGGACAGAGACAAAATAATGAAGGACCTTGGATTGTTTTTCCGAACTATTTAAGTATTTCAGTTACTGTTAGTTGTCAAGTCAGTTCTCACACACAGTGACTTTGTGTATCACAGAACAAAGTGTTGCCCAGTTTGCTCCTTTTCATGATCACTGGTACATTTGCTCATCTTACAGCACGGTATGGGATGATTTTCTGCTGCGATTCACAGGGGTTTTATTAGCCAGTTTTCGTAAATAGATTGCCAGGTCTTTCCTCCTAATCTGTCTTAGTCTGGAGGATCTGCTGAAACCTGCCCATCCTGGGTGACCTGCTGGTACTGGAAGTACGAAAAAAAAACAAAAACAAAAACTCACTGCCATCGAGTTGATTTCAATTCATGGTGACCCCCATTGGGTTTCTGAGGCAGTAAACCTTTACACAAGTAGAGTGCCCAGTCTTCCTTCCATGGAGTGGCTGGTGGGTTTGAACCGCCAGCCTTCTGGTTCGCAGTCAGATACTTTAGGCACTAGCTTCCAGCATCAGAGCAACCACAAACCTCCCACCTTATCAGATATTTACATTTGTTCATGCTGTTAATAAAATCTTGTGTCAAATTTTTTTAAAAAATTTAAGTATTTTCCACATTACTACAGTCTCGTGATCTGCTAACAAGTCCCTTGATGTTGGGACATTATTTTTAATTATTTTTGGTATTGGTTTGATAATAATGATAATTGATACTTTTATCTTTTTTAAGCATCCCACCTTTTCTTTTTTCTATTAAATATTTTCTTAAAATACCCCAGAATGAGATAAAATATCCAAGATGGGATTGCCGGGTGCATGTTTTAGGGCAGTATAAGCAGGTGATTTGAGACTCATAAAAGAATAAGCTTGATACAGTGGCACAGGAGAGAACAGTCAAATTTGCAAAAGGAGGTCACTAGCCTGACACTAGCCTCCCACTTGCCTCCATGGTGCCGTGTTGGGAAGAGGGCCAGAGGGCAGGCGTTACATCCACCAGAGCATCCAGCACAGCTTTGCCAGCGCTGAAGATTAAATACTCTGGTTATGAAGCATAGTGGTGATGGTGATGCTCAGTTCTTTATGGCTACGGTGGGCTTTCTGTAGATACTGAGATAGTTAATTCTTACTCATCTGTTAAAATAGAAATGTCACTTCAAGGAAAGTTTCAATAATTTCCCCACTTCAATTAGATTGGTCTCCCTCTTAAATTTTGTAGATTATTATTAATGTCCTTCATGTTACCAACTACAATTTATATATATAATCATTTGGTTTTCTTTCTCCCTCACTAGACTGTGAGCTCTGGCAGGCAAAAGCCCATGTCTGTTTTGCTAGCTTTTTTTGTTACCCCACTTATCGCAGTGCCAGACTTGTAGTAGGTGCTCGATAAAGTGTTGTTTAATGAGCAATTGAGTAGAGATTTGTTGACAAAGACTTGTTTACAAATGAAAATATGCTCAATCTTGAAATCAGAAAGTTGTAAACAAATTTCA